GCCAGGCGCGCCGCCTCTTGGAAGTTTGCCCCCGGGCTGTCACCAAGGTATCGTCTGCATAACAGATTACACCCAGCCCGGGGGGGAAATCGGCGCGAAGGGCCCAGTCGTACCCTATGTTCCACAAGAGGGGTCCAAGAACAGACCCCTGTGGAACACCGCACGACATGGGCCGACACCTCAAATAACCTTCTCGGTCCTCGTACACGACGGTACGCTCCTCTAAATAGTCTGCCACCAGCCGCCTCAGGTACTTTGGCACCCCATGATAGTGGAGTGCTTCCCTGATGCAGCTGAATGGCAGACTATTGAATGCGTTGGCGATGTCTAATGACACCGCCAACAGCACGCCGCCACAGCTCACGGCCTCTTCGGTCACGGCCCTCAGGCGCAACACGGCGTCGACTGTCGAACGCCCCGCCCGAAAACCAAATTGGGCGTCCGACAGATCGGGGCCCACCTCGCAGAGGTGCCGGACGATGCGGGCAGAAAGAACCCTCTCAAACAATTTGCCCGCCTCGTCCAGCAGCACGATGGGCCTATAGGCCGCGACCGAATCGGCCGGCCGTCCCGGCTTCCTCAATAGGACCAGCTTCCCGCTCTTCCAGCACTCAGGGAAGCGTCCCGACGCCAAGCTAGCGTCGAACACCTCCCCGAGGCGGTCTGCCAAGTGGTTGAGGGCCAGGGCCAGCACTCGGGCCGGTACCCCGTCTGGCCCAGGGGCGGTGTTCTTGGAACGGATCCGTAGAACAGCCGCCCCTACCTCCGAATCCCGGACGGGCGGAACATTTTCCTCCCCGTGCTCCCCGTCGTCTCCGGCCAAGGAGGCCATCGCCGGGGGAGTGTGTTCCGCTCGTTGCGGGAAAAGGCCCTCAACCACTTCTCGCAGGAAGCTGGGCTGGAGAGTCTCCGTAAGGGGGGGGGCCCGACGCGCGGAGCTTTTGTCGCACCGCGCGGTAAGGGCGACCCCAGGGGTCACGATTAAGACCCTCCAGCATCTCCTGTCTTTTCTCTTCTTTGGCGCGGCTAATGGCCAGCTTCAGAGTTTTCCGCGCCCGTCGGTACTCCTCATGAAGCCGGTCCTCCTCACCGTCTCCACGGTGACGCCGCCGACTGCGCGTGTAGGACCTCCGGGCACGTGTACAGGCCGCACGGAGGTCCGCCAGCTCCTGGGAATATTACTTGAACCAACCTCTGCCTGGTAACTTTAAAGTTTTGCAGATACTTTCTAAGTAGGTGCACAAAATAAATTTATTTGAGCTTAGTCGACATTTCGTCATTATTCGTTAAAAAATAATAATAAACAATAATACATAGATACTCATTCTGAAACATACCAATATTTTTTTTGGTAAATTTTCTAAAAATGAAACCTAACTAGGTCGATTAATCGCCCCGAAACACCCTGCATATTAAATTTCATGAAAATCGTTAGAGCCGTTTCCAAGATTCAGATTTTAGATAATTTGTTGACGAAAATAGCTTTTTTAACAGAAGCACTTGCTACAGTTATGAATAAAGAGGAATTCATTAATCCTGATCTGTGCGAAAAACAGAGGAGATAATACGTGGGTCAGGCAGGGCAGGTAGGGTAAATAAGGTTGGAAATAAGCAAACAAACCCTTTTTTTTTAACGTGTGGAAATCCCCTCGGACCGTCACCCTGCCGGGGTTCTCTATTCGGTGGGGTGGTGTGGTGTGTTCTCGAACCGACTTAAACCACACGGTGTGCCCTCTTTGCACTTCTATTTTAGGGTGGGTCCAGGTAGTTGTCGCCTTCTGGACCCCTCCCAGCGCCGGCACGCTCCTGATGAAGCTCCGTCTCAATTTATCCTCTCTTTAGGCGACGTCCGGCACACGCGGACGACACCCCCTCGCGGCTGGCCAAACTAATGCGGTTGGCGGGGAAAACCCATCCCGTCTACTTCGCGGCTTCGCGCCACTCGCCGATAGACTTCGGCGAGCACCTCCGCCTCCAAATCCCACGGGGGTGTTCCGGCCAAGGCGCAAGCCGCCTCGATGGACACCGTGCGGTATCCGTGTATGGCTCTGACCGCCAATATCCTCTGGGGACGCCAGAGGCGCACCCTATTCTGGGCGGTCAGAACCGCCACCCACACCGGTGCACCATACAGCGCCATGGATCGGATAACCCCCGCGTACAGCCGCCTCGTGGAACACTGGCCCCGCCCAAATTGGGCAAAAGTCGCCCTAGGGCGGAGGCAGTGTCCACCAACTTTGGACAAACTTTGGCTGTCGGAAGTGCTCGTCGAAGAGCCACCTACCGTCTAGGACTAGACCCAGGTACCTCATCTGGGCCCGGACCGGTACGAGGACCAAGCTGACCTCGATTGAGGCGCCGGTGGATGGACCACAACGAGGCCCATGAAATAGTAGGGCCTCCGTCTTGTCCAGGGCCACCCGTAATCCCAACGCCTCAATGCGCCCGACCACCAGGGAAACTCCTGTGGCGGCCAGGCGCGCCGCCTCCTGGAAACCTAACCTAAAGCAAACAAACCCTATACCAAAACGTCTAGCGAGCGTGGTATAGTAGGCTAAAACCTTTTTCTAAGGAGGGGCCTCTGTCCAGCAGTGGACTAATAAATACTTTTGATAATGATGATGTTGTGTATGACAAGGGGGGGTTCCCGTTACAGTTCTATAAACTCTTAATTTGCTAAATATAATACATACGCTTTAAATTTTAAGCTAGACCTCCCTATCTAGTAGATCCACATAGGGAGAGCTTAATAAAGGAGAGTACTCAATAAACCATTTCATTGAATTTTTCCATAAGCATATCGTAGACGATAACTGTCAGTTACGATGGTCGTGTAAATCATAGACCGTTATCACGACCATCGTAACTCCCGTCCCTGTTGCAAAATGGTTAATTTTAAAAGCGTTTTACACATTCTCCCAGTGAGTTTACCTCTTTCGGTTTTTTTTACGGGAGTGAAAGGATGCTTACAAGTGTGACATATTTATTATTTTCTAAGGTGCCTAGAATATAGACGAACTACATTCAGATAGCCCAACAGCATAAATAGAAAGCGCTGAAGTATATCTACAGACCGCACACATCTCACAGGAATACCAAGTAGTAATAAGTAGTAGGAGCGAGTTCAGTCTCTTCCATCGTGTGTTATGTGAAACACATAAACGTTAATTAGAAAAGGTACCAATTAATTTTTTTGTCCGTGTGGTGACAGATTAAGAATACAAATTGTCACCACCCCAATTCATCCCGTGGGTGTCGTAAGAGCCGACTAAGGCAGCAAACTAAGCAGGACAACAGCACTGCAAAGAGAAGGAAAACTTGAAACAATCCCTATACTAACCCGTTTGGCCAGCGTGGTATAGTAGGCCAAAACCTCCTTTCTAAGGAGAGGCCAATGTCCAGCAGTGGACTAGTATAGGCTGTTGATGACCAATTAATTTATTAACTTAAAAGAAAATACGACGTGCCAAGTATTAACTTATGCGTGTGGTGACGCATTAAGAATACAGAGTGTCAACATTCATCATCATTCATCCTGTGGGTGTCGTAAGCCCCGACTAAGGGAGCAAATTATACAGAACAACAACACCGTAACGAGAAGGAAAACTTGAAACAAATCCTATACAAACCCGTCTAGCCAGCGTGGTGTAGTAGGTCAAAACCTCCTTTCTAAGAAGAGGCCTATGTCGAACAGTGGACTGTTAAAGGCTGTTGATGATGATGAACTATTAACCTGGTATTACTTTTATTAGACTTGATAATAAAGTAAATCGCTGCTTAGAACATTCCCTGCGTTTGGTACAAACATCCCAACACGAATAAAACGAATAGATAGACAGGTAAAAATATTTTTATGATTTAGTAACTTCATAAGTACGAATTAAATAATACCAACCTCCCAACATGTTAAAAAATAGATAAAAAATTTAGGCAAAAAGTTTTTCATAAAACAAGGTTTTATTTGAAGGTATTTTACCACCTCGCCGCTTCTTACAGCTGAGAGTTATGGGTTCGATCGCCATATGGGACATCGCTTTGTGTGATCCACAAATTTTTATTCTGAGTCTGGGTGTTCTTTGTCCCTTCCCTTTCATGTATGTTTAAAGTCCCCAGTGACACAGGATATATTCCTAATGCGGAAGTTTTTTAAGGAAAAAAAGTGAAAGTACCAAAAGCAAAAAAGGGTTTAAAATTAATGGAAAATCATTATTTTAAAAAAATAATACAATTTTATTTTAGGTAAAAGAATAAAAAATACAAATATGTTGCTTCTTTATAATACTCTGCTAAAAGGGCATGATATTATAACTTTTGTATGGGATTTACAATAAATATATCATAATTTCTACTATTCACATATTTAACAACCACAAAAACGATTTACAAAATATGTACATATTTCCGTATAGAACTTATGTTTCATCATTACTGCAAGGTAAAAAAGATCCCGCTATTGCGTTCACATAGCAGAGGTTAACAGCAGGGCCTCAATTCTGCTGTTTTATGTTCACGCCAAGCCACTGTCATACCACTGACACGCTATTGAGATGCCGTCGAGTGGCCATTGGCATCGGTGTAAATATCGGTAGTCTACACTAACTCAGTGTCTTTACAGTGGCAATGGAATGTCAGTGGCTCATCAGTGGTGATATCAAAAAGATTGCCATATTTGGAAAAATAAATAAATCATTTCCTTATAATTTGAAAATGTATTACGTTTTTTTTAATTTTGGTCCATAAAGTTGTTATGGATTTATCATATTTATTGATATAAATGTATAAACTACAACGACATAAAACACCGTAATTAATAGAATTATCGTTGCTGTTTTTGTTATTGTTTAGTTAGAGTAGACTACCGATATTTACACCGATGCCAATGGCCACTCGATGACATCTCAATAGCGTGTCAGTGGTATGACAGTGGCTTGACGTGAACATAAAATAGCAGAATTGAGGCCCTGGTTTTAAAAATTGTATCTTTTATATAGTTTGTTTTGTTAAACGCTCTTATTTACGGTACCTCTGGGCTCGAATAAGTAACATTGATGATACGCGCTACCCAAAACTCCAGTAAAATGAGGCATATGATTATAAATTAAGTATTGATTTTCTTCTGCGGCGTTTCTAAAACTGTGAGCACTTTTTCTACATTCATTCACGAAGAAATCCATAAAATATCGGTTAGACTTGATAGCCTCTGCTGTACTTGGATAGTGCTTGTTAAGCTTCCATTCGAAAGAGCTTTTTTCTGGATGAAATTGGACTCCATAGAATGGATACCTGTAAAACCCATAGTATTATATCATTAATGTAAAATACTAGATAAATAAATAATACCAGTGACAAAGTTTGGATGATTGGTACTACTTCGTTCTATAACATTACTATGAAATTGTTAGCGCATCATTAATCACATTTCATAATATTATATTATTACCTGACAAGTGTAGGTTTCAAAAATTCAAGAAAAGAAGAAGACAATATATGAAAAAAATAATTTTACTTATCATATATTTATTACTTATTATATTTTATTTTCAAATCAAATCAAAATCAAATCAATCTGCGATAAAATTAGGAGAAATCTAGTCTCTTACATTTTACGGCATCATCTTTTATAAAAAAAACTACCACCGCAGGAAACATCTGCAAGCAGTTCACCATTACTAAGTTAGTTGTGTGGTGGAGTTAGTACAGAAAGAGAATTATCCGTTCTTAAGATCTTAATGGCCTACTCAGCTGGTTATTCTCAATACCACAGATAAGTTACTTGCACAATGCTTAAACATTGTTTCACGACTGTAAACGTACCTGGTATGTTCAATGGAAGCGATGAATTCTACGCCGTAATAGTCATCTGAATGGGAGGTAACTCGCCAGTCCTTAGTCAAATTGTGAGACTTCAGATTCTGCAAGGTAAACGTACACAAGTTACTTCAGTGAACACCATATTGTATATGAAAGTATTTGTTCATGATCTGATTTTTTATAATTGCATACGGTACTGTATATCTCTTATGCCTCTAATTTTGTATGAAATGTTAGATAATTGTTTGATATTTTGCAAATAAATCCTTTCATACATTTTAACACGTCAATTTGTGGAGATGGATAGTGCCGACTTTTCATTATGACTTTGACAACAACAGTCGGATTGAAAACCTCCTCTTTTGTATTTTTGAAGTCGGTTAAAAAAGCACATATGCAGAAGCCATGTCGGCGTACAGGGTGGTTTTAAGGAAAATAACCATTTTAGTCACGGAAGTTAACCACATCTTAGAGTCCACGATTCTAACCGGTTTGAAATCAATATTAAAACCAATGAAAAAACACATCATTTATGATTGAGAGAGAATGAGAGCACCATAATACTAAACATTTTTATCTGCCATTTAGACTACACAATAGTATAGTATACCTCACCACAAAGTCTGTCTTTGACTTTAGTTTTATAGTTGTTCAAGCTCAGATTTTTTATAGGTATACCTTGGAATTTTATTGTAGTTACGTATACTTTGGAATCTAAATGAGCTACTTTTTAATTATATATGTTTTGTATAGTTTTGAATATTCTTTCGTACACAAATGAGTATTTCATATGTATATATGAAAATCTCATTTGCGTGTGTGAATTCGGTATTAGAACCTACTATCCCAATGTGTATTAGGAACTACCGTTATAATACCGACTTCTTCAAAATTTAACTACAGTGATTCTCCACACTTTGATTTATAAAATCATGAAAAGTAATTTCTGAAGAAGTTTGTACGGAACACTCGATGCACGAGGCAGACTCGCACTTATAAGTTTCTTTGTTTTGTAATTCTTCTAGTATTATGTTAGTAGTACACAGTAAACTTTATGATTGCAAAAGATACGCAACAAATGAGTAGTCTTTTCTGGATTCTAAGTATTAGACATAATACATAATACTTTCTCTTTTAACTTATATAAGGTAAGTACTTACTTCGTCTACAATACAAAACTGGTGAGCATTGACAGTCACATTTTCATGGTTTAGCAAGTAGATAATATCCTTTGGGGCATTTTTGAACATCTTGCTATCTCGAAAATCTGGAAGTGGCAACGGGGAATTAGAATGTGCAAGCATTCAATGGTTTGAAAAAAAAACATATTTAAATAACTAAGACCCTTCAATTACAGGACATAGAAATGTGTCCCCGGCGACACGAGATAGTGAGTCTCAATTTCCATTCAAAACTTTTGCGAAACATAGCAGGAAAGATAACTTGGACCTCTCGCCTCATTTGTTTTTGCTTTGTCACATCTTCTTTCGGAACATCAATCAACATGACATATGTGACATGTACGAGTATGTTAATTATACTTTCTCTGTAATTAATCGAGGTGTAGGAAGTAACCCATAAAATTCAGAACTTAGATTAAAAAGAAAGCGGAATTTGAAAACAGAAGAAACACAATAGAAGATTATTAATTTTCTATTAATAATCTTCTATTCTGTTTTCAAATTCCATTCCAAGTTCCAAAAGAACAATTTACCCCTAGAAATTGCTTTTAGAGATGTATTTCGTTTCCTGACTTACTTATCTAAAAACATACATAATTACCTTTTGTAAAATTTAGGGGCAGATTATCGTAAGAATAACACCGGATTCTGTTCTCTGGGTATCCTCGTCCTGATTCTAGAATGATGAAGAGCTCAAACCCGAGGCAGGTTCCGAATAGTGGGAAATAGTCACCAGCGTCGTTCATTTCTTTAGCAATTGCCATTATATGCTCACCGGCGTCCGCATACCCGTTGGATTGGTTGAAGTATGTTGCTCCACCGGGGAATAATACACTGTAATTGAAAACAAAAGTTTATGAATTTAGGCGGCGTTGAGGAACCTTTCCTTTTTATGATTTTATCAATATTAATAACTACTACAATAACCTGTTGAATCAATGACTTTTTTTTTACTTTGTTATACACAAGAGCATGGACCCAGAAATGTTATTAGTTACAGTCATATTCTAAACTGCTTTTCGGTATTTTACCGGCGTACGCAAGAAATTTATAATAAGGAAAAAAAAGACTAATGCAACATTCTTGCAAAAAATATTTTTTTTAACAAGCAGCAAGAAAGCATTTAGCAGAAGTCCGGCGTTTCAAGTTTTATGTAACTTTGTACACGACTTACATCCATACATAAAAATTCAATGAGACATATCTCAGTGGCCATTTATAATGTTTTAATAAATTACCCAAAGTCGTACTAAAAGTTATTATCTAAATAAAATAGTTTGTCATGAGACAATTGTTTCCATTGCAATATTCTTACCTTTCTTATTAGATAGTGTTTAGTTTTGGTTGTAGGTTTTTCTTAGATTCTTAGATTATTTGTGGTTAATTTCTAAGAAGAATTTTTATCATTGTACTAATTTTGTATTTGCTTAAATAATTTGAAAAAATATAGATTTACTTTTTTATGGTATAGGGAGGCAAACAAACAGACGTATCACTTGATCTTAAGTGACGACCGTCACCCGTCACCGTCGACCCTCAGTCATTGAACACCTGTAACTCACGAGGCAGTATATTGCCGTCCTTTAAGTCCCCTCGAGAGTCAAGACAAGGGGAGGGAGCTTGGACTCCGGTAACCTCACTACTACCGGCTTTTTCGAGGCCCTGGCTTCTTAGGTCGAGCTGGCCTATTTGTACCGAAGCAAGACTCTCCCAGCTCCCATGGTAAAACTACTTATTAGTACTTTGTTGTGTAGCCCTGAATAAGTGGTCTAAAAGATATATATATCACTCATACTGATAAAACGTATAACGTACTCTACTACGTATCACCTACTCTAATACTGACCATATCAGTACGTGAATTTACACTGGGATATTACTACTATAGCCACTAAGGTTTAACCGCTGAGTGTCTTTTGTTTCATAAGTGAATGAGACTAAAGAATAAGTGATAAGTGTCTCGCACAGCCAGTTCAAGACGATGTTCAATGTCTCAATAACATTGTCATGAATTTTGTACAAATTTGATGATTGTTTACTCTTTAATTATGAATTAAGTAATTTTTAGTACACATACCCATTAAGTTTTTCCATAAGACTCCGGTAGTACGAGCGATCTTTGCCAATCCTATAAATATAGTCTCATTAAAAAAACTGTGTTGTAAAGAATCCTTTAGACGATTGCTGTACAAACTAGAACTTACATGATGGGTACAACTCTAGCACCTGAAGATTCCACATCTTTAACGTACCCAGCCGCGATATAACTGGTATAGTTTTCTTCAGGGAACTTTGTGTGGAGATAAAAGGACTGTTCCTGCGATAAGACACCGATTATTGGCCTATTATTCACAATCCCATCATCTGTCGTAGCCACCACTATCGCGCCTTCGCAATAGAAGAAATTTACCACCACAATTAGTAGAGCAATCTTCATGATGACTATAGTCCGCCAACTCTCTACTAAACTTAGCCACCTGAAAGAATAGATTTATAGTTAGACATTTATCGAATTTTGCCGTAATCTAATCATCACTGTATAGAATCAACTCGATAAATAAATCTACGGAATTATTGGGATTAAAGACAACACTAACACATATCATTTGAAATAGCAAAAACTAACCTTACCAACATATAATTTATACCATCGTTCACTAAACAAATTACGAGGTTTCGTGCGAGTAGCCGTGCGTGTCCGTGTTTTGTAAGCAACTGCAGTCTAAAAATAAATTCCATTCCTACGGAATGAAAACAACAACATTGTTTTGATAGTAACTTTATCAGTGTCAAGTTATTTCTTCCTTATTATCTCTCATTACTCTTGTACTGCTTTTAAAGGTTAAAGAATACCGTCGTCAAATGTTGTTATAACTTTAATTTAGTTATTACGTTCTAATTTTTTTAGTAACTATTTAAGAATCAAAAAAATTATGCCAATAATTATAAATACTCTTATATTATTATTAGCTACATTTCACAAAGCTACTTTCGACACATTAACCGCATTAAACTTTCTTGGTTTTATCGTTATCATAATGAATTTTCTAATTGAACGAACAGAAAACGAAACAGAAGGCCAGACTCCCGTGTCTATCCCGAATTCTAAGAATTCCCTAAAACCTCATTCTAACTAAAAAATATTATTATGTTTGTCTTTAACAAGAACTTTATACTTTCAACCCTAATAGGCTAGTTGACTCAATTTGAAAACTTGGTTAATTATATACTTTAATATCTATTTTATCCCAAAAAACCTATATTTCAATGAAAAAGGAATATTATAAAAAAAAACAAATTAAATTTCCTTCGAAAACGCTGAATAGTGTCATGGCGTTTTGAATGATGTCACAGTCTGCAAAATAAAACTGTTTAAATGTGTGTCCAGTGTCAACTGTTTTCAAAAAATGAATAAGGAGTAACCTGCTCTGTTGTATGAAAACGTCAACAACAACAATGATGTTTTGCGTGGCGTGACGTAACACTTTCTGATTGGTGTTCGCTGTCACGTGACTTAATGTCTATTTTGTACGATTTTTTTTTTAAATAATAATAATCTTCTAATCTTTAACTTTTATGAGAAATAGACTGTTTTTTCTTATCTAAATCTCTTCATTTATAATTTCAAACTATAAACTGCAATTAGTTATTAGTGGACAAGAGCCTATTTACTCAGTACGAACAAATGATTTGTGTGGGTATGTGACTATACACGGCATAATTAGCAGTAATAATTAATAATAATTAATTCCGTTAAAATAATATATTTCGTCCAATAAATAACATATTAGCTAGCGCGCGCCTGCGCGATGTAATGCGCAGAATAACTGGCTGTCTGTATGTCACTACAGATCCACTCAACCTTATCATAAGTACCTATAAATAAACAATATAGTATATCCGTAATAATGACAAGAGTTCAAATAAATTATCGTAATCTGATAAAATTTGGTGATAAATTCTATTGCATGTTTATACGATTATATTTATAATCTTTAATGGTGATGGATTGTATTTTTTATTGATAATATATTAATATTATGCAATATTAGAGAATGTGATTTCTATTCCATGAATGTAATGAAAGTTTGCAATTATGTCTATTATCTACTCACTAGAGAATACGATGATAGAACAGTAGGATTTTTATTTTTTATTTTTCGTCAAGACTCCTTTTGGGTATAAATTCATACACACAGACATACATTCTTTGTTAAAGAATGGGAAAAAACTGAATGAATGAGAAAGTATAGAAAAACATAAAAATTTAAATATTTTGGCAGTTTTGTATATTTTTTAATTCACTGCAAATTTTAATGTAAAATAGTTGTTTGAAAATGTGTATCTTATAAACTGTGATCAACATTTTTCACTCCATCATAGTGTGTCAGCGAAGTGGGAGCCTGGGAGGTCACAGCCACCGAATTTGTAAAGATGCGAAAGAGATTAATAATTTTTAGCTGTACAGACAACCTACACAACTGAAATATTTGTTATTATTTTGTAATTTGTAAATAGTTTTTATTATTACAGCATACGCATTGCATATGCATAGGTACCGTAAATGATAGGCATGTCCTGTCTGCAGTTAACCACATAAAACGCCTGGTAATCTACTGCTATTTAACTACATAGTATACACCCCCCGCAGCGCGCAATATTTTTTATTCAGTAGCATGTATTCGGGTTTAATTTTACTTAAGAAGCTTTATATACAATATATAATCCATCCGCGTACACACGTAGCTTTTTTATGTTTACCTAAATATTACGTAATAGTTAGAAAAAAGCGAACAAATACTCACCTTTAATGAATATCAACATGTCACACATTAACACACGGTAAATGCTACGAATGATTGTGTACTGCATATCATTGAACATATTTTTATCATCAGGTGCACTTAGTTACAAAATGATTTTTATTCTGTCACATAACGTTATCGTGTCATAATCAATGGTTTACAAAACACGCATGCGCACTGGGTCGCTCACCCGTATGCAACTTTGACGAACTATTTGGCGAACAACATACATTCCAATGCAATAAATGCAATTAGGGTCAAATGATTAAACTGTGCATATGCTCAGAAAGTGCGTATAATGCAGACATTTTCAAACTTAATACATCCCTTGTAGGGTTGTATTCAATTTGAAAATAAAGAGTACAAATCGGCTACGCACAGATATATTCCTCTGTTAGCCTTTAATTGAAATAAAAATAGCTGTTTAGTCTGTAATAAAATGTTTTCCAAAATTCGAATTTATTGAGCTAAGTTAAATGCCACCATTTTCAAACGCCAATAAAAGGAGGAAGTTCGCAGTTGGTCTGGATCTTTTTATGTATGTCACCTGATTACACGTGTGACTCCAACGATTTAGACTATACATTTAGGTTTTTAATCAGTATGTATGCAGTATGCTTTCCAAGTTGATCCCATTAAAATTACGCCAGGGTCTGAAGACCGGTAGATAAATCGTCAGAACATTTAAAAAAATGTAAAATCCAGAGCTAATTGGGTATTTTATAGGACGTATAGTAGGCGAGGTGGTGTGATACCATATTATTACATATAATTATGGTAATAGGTAGGTAGATGTTGAAAAAGTTTTGTTTTATGAAAACCTCTATGCGTATTCATTTTATTCTGTAAAAAATATTTATTTATTTGTAGACATAACTGTCTAAGAGATCATAAGGTAACACTAATTTAAATTAACAAAAATTGTGGTTGTATTTTTGTTTGCGAAAAGGACACCAAACAGTTTCGTGCTAGCCTCTATATCCTATACATAGATATATATAGTTTCGATTGTTCCGGCGGCACGGTATCCAAACAGAAAAAAAAATCTTAGCCAAAAACTTTGTCGAAATTTGTCAAAATTGAAGGGAAGAAACCAAAAATTTGTCAAAGGAGGATTGCGCGGCCACGGAGATCTCATTAGATACTTAAGTTAGAGATCTAATTATTGTTAATTGAAGACTAAATTTGTCAAAATTTGTCGAAGCAAGAATAGCTATAGATCAATATTTTATGAAATATTTACCTTGAAAGTAATGGGCGCACAATCGTACACTTGTTGTTTATTAAAAGTTCTTAATTTGTAAAAACTAATATAGTATACTATATATGCATACTACATATACTATATCTATGTGGATATCATGGCGAAGCAATCGAAACGCACACCATGGGGTACAGCTGCCTGTAAGTGGAAGCGGTACAGCCAACGTATGAGATGTATGTCTAATAGTTCCCTCTGTCTCTGTTTAGCTAAGCTGCGATTGGCTATCGTGAAGTGGGCATGGTTTTGATTGTAGAACAGGCAGGAGATAAAAAAAACTCCAGCCAACCACAGAGCTCGACTAGATCGAAAAAGAGGTAACTATCTTTTATCCATCTCTCTCGTTGCCTATATTGCAAGATTAGGGCTCTTGTTCACTCTATGCTTATATCTTTATGATCCTATATGTAAAGTTATATTTACAGATAAAAAATGTCACAATAAAATGAAAAGAAAACGCGTATTAATGCACAGAAAGTTAAAAACTAAAAATAACTAAAAGCAGGTAATAATAAAGGTAAATATAATTGAGTTGAATTGAGCAGGTAATAAATTGAGAGTTTGAGTAAAGTTTAAAAATACTCTAAGGCAATTTTTAAAAATTGAAGAAATCCAGAAGAGATGAAAAGAAAAGTCTATCGAAAGATTGGTATCGTGACTTACAGGTACCAGGTACCACTTAGATTGATGACCATAATGTATTTTTATTTTCGGGTCAATATTAATAAAACAAAAACTGATTTACTACTGCTCCAAATTATTCAATTTTCCGGTGTGTGTGTGTTTTTATTAACATTTCACACTCATTATTTTCAACACACATTATCCAATGCCTATATTACAGTTGATAAATCTAGATTTACCTCCCTTAGTTTATAATAAAAAATTAATACAATTTTGAACGTGTATGAGTAAGTGAAACATATCATTTACATTTATTGCACTTGATAAAAACTGATAATTAAATTTATATTGCAAAATAAATCATCTTATACACATTTACACCTCGATTTGTACTTTAAGTCTTTAAATCTAGATCGTGCAAGCATGGCTATGGCTTTTTGTTTAACACGATACTTACACGTTTGTTTTTAGGTTATATCACAGGGTTAAATTGACAAAGGATCAAAAATACTCTCAGATTTTTTGTGTGTACACATGTAATAAATAACATTATTACTGTTTAAGTTTAAGTTTTATTAACATCATTCAAGAGTAATCCAATAATGTAATCTACTAAAGACCCTTCGATACTATTGCGTAACATATTTACCGTATAGTCAAAATTTTTACAACGCGATATTGCAGTAGAATCACGAAAATATTATACATAAGGAGGTCTGTATTCAGGTCGAAATAACATACATCACCATAGTCGATGAATGAATGATTAAGGATTGCATGAGAGTACGTTTTGGGAGGCAGGAAGTTCTTGAGGCGATATAGTATTCGCAGGTTTCCAGTTACTCCAGTCAACCTTTGGGTGGTGTATTTTCAAGATACTTTGCATGCCTACACTTGCCACAACGCACTAGTGTGCTCAACAATTATTTTTTTATGTCGACAAGCAG